AATTCGAGCAAAAATTCGATACTTTAGATGCAAAAATATGCTCTTAGACAGTTTTAAATTTACCAAAATTTATTAAATATTTTTAAAAAAGTATCCTTAAAAATAATCCCGAATAAGCACGTCTTTAAAAATAATTCCAGGCACGTGTATGATGATGATTCACTCGTGAAACAAAGGAGGGGGAAAAAATAATAGACAATTGTTCATTAATAGGGTATTTATCTAATTAAGTATCTTAAGAACAAATAATTATTCGTAATCTTTTAATTAAATATTTTCTGAGAAATATGATCTCGATAACAGGATAAACAGGTTGACATCACTCTACTCCATCCAAGACAGAGTATAACAATTGCCACCTCCTACAGAGATAACTGAGACTAAGGTTATTTTTATACTTTTGTAGAGCGAGTTGTGCAAGAAAGCCAATTTTCTTCTTAAGAAAAAAAAATGAGAAATTTTTCTCGAATAGCACAGCGTGAAAATTAACTTATAAAGTTTTAAACAGGAACCTTTGAAGGATATATTCTAATTAACTAGGTTTAAATTCTAGAAAAATGGCATAATTCTAATCACTTAATTGAATAAATACGTCAAAGAATCATAAATTAGCTAAATTGTGCAATAAAAAGGATTTTTTATGATTAATTTGCGGGTTTTTTTTACACAGGGTGGTCCAAAAGTGAGTTGACCGCATGTACGTTACAAAATAGAGCTATAAAACTGTAGGAAACTTGTTTAAAATATGATTATTTGAATTCGACATCTACAATGGTTAACCGAGTTTTGGGTCACCACAGTTTCTTTAAATTGTTAAAATAAATAAATATATTGACTTAAATTACATAAATCTCTATAGAGAATTGCTCCTTAAAAATATATTTAAAGAAATTTCGTTTATTCACTCCTGTAGAATATCTCCTTACAGATCCTTTAAGATTTATGCAAAACACTACATTATTTTTAATCATTTGAATCGCTTTAATATGTAAAAAGGCTGCTTAAGAGGACGGATTTATCCCTTTAAACTCTTAATAATTTAAATATTTTGACTTAAATTATTAAATTCTAGTTATTATTTATACAGAAGGAATTACTCCTTATAGATCAATACATAAAAACTGCTTTTAAAATTTATGTGAAATGTTATAAAAATAGAGATATTTTGATTTAAGACTTTAGTATATAAAAGGTTCCTTAAGAGCAAGGATTTGTTCTTTTATAGTTAAATAATTGAATAAATTAATTAGATCTCTATAGAGAATTACTCCTTACAAATTAATATAAAAAATATTAACTTTAGTATTTATAACAAGACTTTTAAATGTCTCCTTTTCAGATTTATAGTCTAATTTAAAAAATTTACGAAACAATCTCCTGAAAACATACACAATACGGGGCTATTAAAATATCCATAAAAATAAAAATATATAATTATATTAAATATGATTCTTTGTACAAATTATAATCCTTTAATAGCTTAAGAAGCAAAGATTTAAATAAGATAATAAGTCTTTGCACTTTATTCTTGGACATATATATGAGAAACGTTTCTTAGAAATATATCCAAGATTAAGAAGAAAAACTTCCCTATACACATCCAAGTTAAGGAGCAAAACTCCCCTATACATGTCAAAGATTGAGGAGCAAAAACCTTTCCTATATGTCCAATATGCTCTTTAATGTTTTAACATCTTTCCTATACAATTAATACAAATTAACAGAAAATGGCTTCTAGAAAGAGCTAAACAAAATATATTTTGTATTTTCAATATTAAACTTTTAAGAAAGATTAGACATTAAATAAAAATTTATAATTTAATTTCTTTTTAAACCATAATATTTATAAATCTTAAAGAGCACTGTCCACACTACACGAACTTTTAATAATTCTTTTATCCGAATATTCAATAAATTAAGGATTGAGGAATATTCAGGATTAATATGAAATTTATTAATCAGGAAACTCTTTAAAAAATTAAAATATTTTGTACATAAATTTCAATATAAAAACTTTCACAATTGATTTAAATTTTTATGGAGAGAAAAACCTTAATTTTTTATGCGATTTTCCTTATCAAATTCGATTTAAAAATAAAATTTAAAAAACTTGAACTAAGTTGAATAAATAAAGATTTTTTCAAGTCTGTATACATTTTTTTTTTCTTTTTTCTACCTGGAAAGAGCGAGAACTCTCAGTTAGAGATAACAGAAAGAGGTTTGGAAGGGGTCTAATCTAAGTCAAACCAAACAAAAATTCTAGAAAATACCAAGCAAGATATTAAAACCCTTGACGTCTAAAGTGCATTCGACGTAAATAGATTCAAAAACTCGACAAAGTAGGAAGTGACGCCTTAATTTCCGGCCAGTGACGTCATCACTGCATCAAATGACAAGTTGATTTAAAGCAAGATGGACAATGGAATCCATCAAGAGAGGCCTGGCGGAAATTCAGGACCAGTTCATCTTAGATAAAAACGGGGAGGGAGAAGTCTAAAATTCGATTTAACCAGAAAATTGGATAAGTGAAAAGTATAATTACCATAAGAAGGATTGTACTGGGTGCCTTTCTTTTATGCTTTTAGATCGTTAAATGCCGAATAATTTTATTGATGGGAAGTGTTTCAGTTAACTAAAGTTACTTCCGAAACTTAAGCAATTTAATTTAAAGTAAACTTTACGAAGTTTTAAACGTGTCAAAGTAAAGAATTCTGTATGCAAAGTATGCAACGTTCATATATCTTAGCCTTGCATTGTTGAATACAAAATATATATTATAACATGCAAAAATGTAAGTTATGTAAGCTTAACTATCGTTAACAGATAAGAACTAAGCATATTTTGCATAACAGATATCTTTGCAACAAACACTAGATATATCATTCTTAATACATATCTAAAGCATAGCTTGCATACTATACCAGATATTACTATAAATACCAATATACAAGGTGTATCTACGTAAATTACAGTATTTAGTTAAGTAAATCATTCGTGTATAACATATTTAATCATACATATCACAGGTTATACAAGTAGTCATTCTGTATTAACTCATTTTACTTTTTATATACAAGACTGTAGCATAATATATTCATGAATATCACTAAAATGTATGCAGAACATATTTTTCATGCATAATTAATCATTTATTTTAATTAAGAATAATGTCGGAGGGGCGAGCATCTAATTATATTTGCGTTTAGAATCCGATACGCAAAGATAAATTCTTAGAAAATTAGATTCCATTGTAAAATATTCGAAGAAAATCATATTAAATATGATACGTGTAAGGTAATTTCGCTGATTCAGTAAATATTAGCACAAGTAATTCTCAATTTCTATGGTACCTGTTGCTATTCCATCTGACAATGAGATCAAATACCTCAGGACAAAAGATCAGACGGACATGGCAATGATGTGGAACGCCTGTGTCTCGTTATAGGATGGTAACAAAAGTCTGGTCACGAAGTTAGATTTCTGTATTCGACGAAGGGAGGGTTGTAATTCCCAAGAAGGATGACTGCAGTTAAGTGTGGGTGAACTGGAACAAGGGTACCTGAGTAAAGAAACACTTAAAAAGAAAAAATGATAGATACATTCGAGTTATATCTATTGTTAACTTTCTACTAATGAAAAAAGCACCTAATTTAACATCAGCCATCTTTGTTTTATGGTTAAAAAAATAATAAAAGATTCTGTACACCCTCATACACCGTTAAGTTTTATGAACTTGTTAAAGGAGGAAAAACAAGCTCGTGATAATGTTTATCTGAGTTTACACACTTTGAAACTATTAGTGTAAGATGGGACGACCTCCTTGCTGTAAAATTATCCTAAACTTTGATAACAAGAAAGTGGAATCCCCCTTTAAAACTTGGAAGAGACGAAAGTTTCGAAAAATACTAACCAAAAAAACAATTAAATTCCAATTTTATACGAGACAAAATGTAGGTGTTATAACGTGAATATGTGTAGATACGTATACCAGGAATGTAGAACATGGCATCACTAGAATCACGTGAATCACGCAATTTGCGCGCGTGAAAGATGTCATGACCATTTGGCCTACAAGAGGAAACAGGTCTTCGACTGTTAACAGTAGGCTACGTACTTTTGAAGGACGAATTTTAACGTAACAAAAATGCTGCACATATCTTGTTATAATAAACTGAGTATACCGAAATAGCCTTTATTATCTTATGCTATTATAGTGATATCATGATAAAAGTTTAAAAGAATAAATGGACGCTAATGGGTCAGTCACCTTTACCTGACTGCGAGACCAGATGGGCCACACCAGTTCAGTCAACTGCTTTCCTTGGCCTGTCTCGTGAATAAACGGTCAAGTCAAGAAATTTTTATTTTAAAATTCCTGATTGTTTAATGACCTTAAAAAAATAAAATTCTAGAATATACGTCCATTCATCGTAAAAATTCCGAATATTACATAAATAATATCGATCAATGAAAGAATACGCCAAGAATTCGGGTTTTGTAAATGCTTAAAATTATTTTCAATAATATATTTTGAGTTCCTCAACTTTAAGTGTGCCTTTAAAAAATCATGTGTACATATATATATTTTCCAGGAAATAATTTTAATTGGAACAATTCCTCAATTTAATTAAATTAGGACGATATTCTGTATAGATTACATAGCACGATTTATAAATAAAAATATGAATAAAATAAATGTAAAAATCACTATTTTTCTTCAAATAATCGAAACAGATTTTAAACTGGTTTTTTTTAATCACAATTAAATGAAAATGATTCATTTTAAGACGAACAGCTGAGTTTTGATTACAATTAAATAAGAAATCGATTCATTCTTAATGCGTTTAAGTGAAACGGATTAATTTGAATGACAATTAAATGAAATCGATTCGTTTTAAACACGATTAAATTTTAAACGCGATTAACCGAAGCGATTATTTTATGCAAATCTGTCAAGGGGAGAAATTTTTTTTTTAAAGTGGAATTTGTTTAGAACTTACCGAACATTTTCTGACGGATGATTCGCTTGCGCTGAAAGTTTTTTTGCCTTGGTTCTTTCCAATTTGGACAATTCGGCTAAAACAAGACCCATCTGGTAAATCATCACGAGAAGTTATGTCGCTGCTTGCGCTACACCTGGCGATCTTTCTATTCTGGACGGGATCAGCTGAGACTGTCTTGACGTGTAGAGTTGATGTTTGGGACGTCTTGTTAGCATTGAATTGATCGCTACCATCTGATTCGGAACTTTCTCGAACAAGCTGATCATCCGTTGTCGATTTTTTACTTTTCCATCGGCGCATTTTACTAGTTTCCAAAGTTAGACATGATCAACAACTCCGGTAACAACACACACCCAACCTATGGCACGGGGAATCATGTTGTCCCGTAAGAGAATTAGATAGCAGCGCCTCCTCTCGTTTAAAAATGGCAAACAAAAGTTACTTTCTCTCGTCTTTTACGTAAAATAAATAAATAAATAAATAATGTATGTTAAATCTCAGACATTTGTAAAGATCCAGCGTTAATTATATTTCTTAAATGTCAGTTTTGTACGTACAAAATTTAATCAAATCGGACAGGCATAAGTTGTATTTTCTATATTGTTTTATTATGAATTCTTGAGTATTTCGGTAGCTGGATCATTCACAAATTAATTTTCCCAAGTCATCGCGTATTCACGTGGAAAACAATTGTTAAATAAATTATTTAAATATTTTTTTGATGTAATTCTTTTTTTAAATTATTAAATTTTTGTATTAGTGGTAACTATAAATTATCTTGGGTTAAATTTTAACTGAGTGAAACATTAATTAAAGTCTCTTGCATGATTATAAATTACTAATTTTAATGTTAAAAATATAATATAAATAACAATTTATATGTTTTATTTTTATATAAATTTTAAATTTTAAACAGATTTTTAAAAATAAGTTTTAAATTCAAAAAATAATTATAAATATTATATTTTATA